ACTTAACACTTTGAATATTTTCCCATTCTTTCCTTGCTTGCATTGTTTCTGATGAGAGTTCCAATGTCATCCTGATGGGATATCCTTTGAGAGTAACTTGACATTTCTCTCTTGCCAATTTTAGTATTTTGTCTCTGTCTGTGGTTTTGGTCAATCTGGCTACGATGTGCCTAGACGATCTTGGGTTGATTCTATGTGGGGTCTTTTGTATTTCTTGGGTTTGGATATTTGAATGTCTCTCTAGGTTGGGAAAGTTTTTTCCCAGGATTTCATAGAATAGATCATCAACGTCTATTAATTTCTTCACCATCTGATCCAGATATTTGGTCATTTAATGGTGTCTAGTATTACTTGTATGTTATTCTCATTTTTGGGGGTTTTCTCAGTCTTTTTGGTGAATTTTTCTAGGGCAGAGGTTCTGTCTTCTATATCTGAGATTTAATCTTCTGCATGATCTAATCTGCTTTTAATACTTTCAAAGGAGGTTGTGGTTTCCTGTATTATAGCCTTCATCTCTAACAATTTCGTTTGATTCATTTTTATGGTGTATATTTCCTCTTTCAGATCATGCAAGAACTTCCCCACTGCCTGAACTTGTCTCTTCTGCACCTTCTGAGGGTCGTCTCTCTTCTCTTGCCTCTCTGTTAGCTTTGTCACTATGAATATTTTAAATTCTTTAGCTAACATTTCCATGAGTTCCCTTGTTTTGTCTGTGGAGGATGAGGGGTTAATTCTTTTCCCTTGGGGGTGAGGTATTTTCTTGGCTTCTCCTATTTCTTGTGCCGCTGTGGTGGTTTCTGGTCATCTGAAGGGTTATATTTTTTTCTAGTCTTTGGAGTTAGACCTGGGCACTCTGAGGCACGGAGAAGGTGGTCTGCAATCTCTAGGCAGTACTGCTGTTCTGTGTGCAGAGTCCATGGTCTGCAATCTCTAGGCAGTACTGCTGTTCTGTGTGCAGAGTCCATGGTCTGCAATCTCTAGGCAGTACTGCTGTTCTGTGTGCAGAGTCCATGGTCTGCAATCTCTAAGCAGTACTGTTGTTCTGTGTGCAGCAGTCCATGGAAATGGAGGGTTACTCTGACCACGCTAGATCTGGGGGACAGGAGGGTGACGTCTGGGCCAAAATTCTTCAGCTCCAGATTCTTTTTTATAACATAACTGGTTTTAGAGACCAGCAGTTGGCATAATGGCTATGTTTCTGGACTCCCATGTAGTTGACCATGGTTTGAGTCCTGAACCTGGTGGCTTAAACTCATGGCTGGCACGTGTGAGTGCCCGAGATCCTGAGAGGAGAATGGAGGAGAAGGGATTGTGGCGTGACCATCCCCCCTGGGGGTGACTTCTCGCTTTCTGTCTCTCTGTCTTTTCTGGCGAATGCATTCGCCCTATAGCAAAAACCTCTCGGGAACCAGCAGTTAGCGTAATGGCTATGTTGCTGGACTCCCATGTAGTTGACCGCAGTTCACGTCCCGGACCCGGTGGCTTAAAACTCACGCCGGGCGCGTGTGCATGCGTGCCCAAGATCCCGAGAGGAGAATGGAGGAGAAGG